AGCTCCTCCTGTGAGGCCCAAAACCTTGATTCCTTCTTTTACCCAAGTTTTCCTTGCCTGCAAAATCGACATTATCTCACCACTTCCTTCCTGACTGATTAAAGTCAAACACCTCCTGGTCTGGGTAACGCAGCTTTCAGTCATCACTAATTAATTTCCGCTGTTCAATTAAGCGTTTTTGATGATTTGGGATGGAATCTGTGGGCTTTGGAGGTGGGGAGGAGGCTCCAAGCCTCCCTGCCCAGAGCAGAGGGGTCAGCGTGTGGCTGAGGGCTCAGCCAGCACCAACAGCCAGGGCACCTCTGGAATCTGACCTGGTGCCAGCTCCTTTGGGTCTGAGCACAATTATCCCAAGAAAACACCACCAGAAGGGAAAAAAATATGCAGCTTTATGGAGGCAAGGAAAGAGAACTGGAAGCTGGCTCAATTCTTTTGCCCAAGTTGGATGCTGCTTCCCACAGGAGGCACCTTTAGCAAAGTCCAGGCTGCTGGGAGCAGGAGGAGGTGATGTGGGGTAAGCAAATCACAGGCCAGGTTATTCCCCAACAGAACTGGTAATTGTAGGATTGCCCTGTAAGGGGGAAAAAAAAATATTGATTTTTATTTAATTTTTTTCTCCTCTTCTGCTTAAAATACCAACAACCCAAGCTAGAGCTTTATCTGTGATGCTGTACCTGTAATGAAAAACACCACATCTGTTGCACACCAAGGAGATTTAAGGCACCTTTCTGAAAAGCCAGGGCTCTTTGAAATATTCATGAATCTTTAGCAGTTTCCTGAGATACAGAGGAATGTCAAATAATCTTTTTCCACACCGTAACGTTTGCAGCTTGAGCTGTGAAACCTTTGCTAGATGGAAATGCCCCCTCCCTCCTCTGCTCAGGACACTGATTGTCATTCCTGTGATGCAGAGGGTCCCCCCAGAACAGGGGGCAGCTCAGGTTAATTTAATGGGGATATTACCTGCAAAGGCTTCAGTCCTAGAGGCTGAATAAAGCAGTTTTTAGTGAGAAGGGGAAGGCCTGAGGTGTCAGTGCTGTTTGTGGGGATCCTCGTGGAGCGCTTGGAAAGGCAGAACGGCTGCTGAAGGCAGGAAAGCTGAACAGGAGGAATAAAACAGGGTGAGAAAGGCTAGAACTGGGCTTTGTGTTGCTTCCAGGCAGTGCCAGAGCAGAAGTTTCTTTGAGGCAATCTGACAGGAAGCTTTGGGTGGGGAATGCAGCAGGCTCAGAGGTAAATTGCAAATTTAATGATGTTTGCTGTGAGGACAAGCCCTGAGGGGGATGTCTGACAGTGTGGAACCACCATGCAGAATAACCTGGAGAGCTGCTAATTACAGCTCAGCCCAAACCCATGTGGAAAGTGCAGCTAAAGAGAGGTTAAAAGTCTTGTGTGTTCTTTCCTCATCCTTGCACTGAGTGCCCTTTGTTACAGAGCCCCCAAACAATCCCCAGGAACTCGGGGGTTTGGGATTTGCAGATCTCCTGGCTGGGTTCCTGAAGCTCTCTACAAAAACACCAGTGAGAAGCTCCATTCTGAACTACTCCTCGATTTTGAAAATGCAGAAGAATTTTCCAATATTCTGATTTTAATTTTTCTGCAGAATAAATCTCAGTGTCTCTTCAGGAACGACACGGATTGAGGCTTTGCAGATCTGTCACTGTGAATTATAGCACTTCCACAAAAACTTTCTTCAAATCACAGCATTATTTTCAACGAATTTATTTTAAAACTCATCAAAATATTGATTTTGAGGTTGGAAGCATCTCAACTTTTTTCATTATTGCACCACATCCCTTCATTTTACAACCAAATCGATCCATTAACTTGGCCATCTGGCATGGCATAAAACAGGGAGGGGAACTTTTCCAATTTGCTTTTGTTTCCTGGAGCATTTGGCAGCCCAAGGAGTGCAGTTGGCTCCTGTGTGCCACAGAACACTCGTGTTCCTCAGGAAAGGAGGTCAGTGGGGTACAAATATTCATAAAGGTCTGTCTTGGGTTGCAGGAGAGTCTGGAAACTCAGAACTGGGCTCATCTACAAGAACCTTTTGCCCAAGGCTCAGGTAAATGCAATTCTGCACAAATTATTTCATGTAATAGGTATTTCTGTATATTCAGGGATGTAGAATTCCAGGATGGTTTGGGTTGGAAGAGACCTTAAACTCATCCAGTTCCACCCCTGCCAGGGGCAGGACACCTTCCAGTGCTCCAAAGTGCTCAAGGTCTTATCCAGCCTGGCCTTGGGCACTTGCAGGGATCCTGGGGAGTCCCTGGGACTGTTCCTAACTACCCTCACAGTGAAGAATTGCTTTTAATAACCCAATTTTCCTTCTTCCAATCTGTACCACTTATAGATATTTATCTGAGTCTGTACATATGTACATTGAACCATCTCAGCTTAATGCATGGGAGCTGTCACATTCCTCACCTGCCACAGCAAATGACTGGAAAACTCTAGAAATGGAATTGAAATGACCAGGGAAAAGTCTGGAAAAATTATTTCTTTCCTGGAAGGCAGGGATTCCCCTGGAATGTCTCGTGGGTTCTGCAGCCAGGAGTGTCCTGCAAGGGCTGCCCTGGGCTCCCCATGGCTGCAGCTTTCCAGGGGTGCTTTTCCCTGCTGGGAAAGATTGAGCTTGGCTTTTCCACAGCTCGGGAAGACCCTGCAGGTCCTGCCCTTCTCTCTGACACCAGGGGGAAAATCATGCCACACAGTCTGGGAATGAGTTCTATAATCTCATTTTCACACAGCTGACAGCTTTGTTCTGCTGAGCACCCAGCAGTAGCGTTTGTTCATTAATTAAGGCTGCTGCCTTTTCCAAAGTGCCAGCTATGACTATTTTTTGTTCTCTGGCTATAAGACCATGGATAAAACTCCCTGAGAGATTTAACCTTTCATTAAAGCTCACCTTTTTATCTACTTCAACTCATAGTTACCCTCACAACTGCACCAAAGGCAGCTCTGTGATCCTGTGGCTGCTTTTCCAGTCTCTGGGATGGGCATTCCCTGCCAGGGCTGCTCCTGCAGCTCCCAGGGCACAGGAGCGTGTTCCAGACATTTTTGGGGTGCTGTGATCACGTACGTGGCTGACAAATGGAGCATTTCTGATGGAAAAGTTGTCCTGATAGTTTTGCCACATCTGCAGCCTCAGTGGAGCGGTAATTTGTGCAGTGGAAATGCAGATGTGGAGCTGAGGAAACAGCTGGCAGCAGAGGGGAGGAGAGGAAAGGCTGGGAGCTGGTACACGCAAGGGCTGGGGACTAAAACAGGGAGAGATCACCCAAGGTCAAAACTCTGCTGCAAAAGAGTTTTTGGAAGTGGCAGAACCATTTGCTGTGTGGATGAAAACGTGCAGAAGATCCAGTTTTATATTGGTGATCAGGATCAGAAAATTAAGCAGGACTCTGGGGCTTAACTTGGGCTCAAACTGGAGGTTTCCTCTCAAAATCCCTGTCCAAATCCCTGCAGCTCTCAGACAGGGTTTAGCACTTCCTTAAAATGGTTTGAGAACAACACATGCATCAAAGTCCAGTGATTGTGTTTCAGGGAACAATAAGGTTGTGATGCCAGAATACCTGTGCATTTTCTGAGGTGTGTTTCAGCACATAGGAACAAGTAAAGCTGTTGTTCCCTGACCATAACAGAGCTGATGGATACCTAGAATATGCTGGAAAGGAAAAAAACCTCAAACTTTACCAGCAGATACAGCAAATTTGTTTTTTTTTTATTTTCTTCAGATGCAGTGATGATGATGAACAGTTCTGCATTTGAAGCAGCAAGAAGGGAACTCCGTTTTTGGGCTGCTGCTGTGTCAGGTGTCCCAAAGGCAGCTTTTTCTCCTGCTCTGGCTGCACGGCTTTGGTCTCAGGTGCTGTGTGTGCACCTACCCTGCTGCAGCAGAGCCGGCGGCTCCGGAGCTCTGCACGCACGGATCCGACGTGCTCGGACTGGCAAAGCCGAGGGAAGGCCGAGTTCAGCAGCCCTGCAGCTCCTTCCCTTGGAAACCTGAGCAGGGAGGGACGGCAGCCCCGGCTCTGTGCCTGGCTGAGAAATGGATTTACGGGCTGTGCTCCCACCACAGCCCTGCCTGCCACACGAGGTGAGCGCCGCAGCATCCCCGACCCACGGGATGAATACCACTGGGTTGGGTTTTTGGTTTTTGTGTTGTTTTTCCATGTGTTTGTGGTTAGAGCAGCTCTTATCGTGCTCTTGCCTGATCTCTCGACTTGTGGTGGGCAGGATCCTCTCATGAGGTGATGCCCAAGCTGGGGCTGAACCAGAAAGGCTTTTCAAAGATGCCTCATGACCAAAAATCCATCGCAGCCTTTAAATTAATTGCTGGAATGACTGATTAACTCACTGACCAAACTCACTGTTTCTGGTCAGAATTCAGTTGTGGGGTTTTGTGTTTCAGTGGGCTCCTGCCCCACTGGGTGTTTCCCTGTGTGTGTTCTCAGCCAGACACCAGCTCTGCTCTCCCGAGCTGTCTGTAGCACGGATTCTCCTGCCCTCAGTGGAGTTTTCCCAGTGCTCTGCCCTGCTCCCTGAACTGTCTCCAGTATTTTGGTGAGTCCCTGCCAGCTCTGGTCACAGGCTGCTCTGTGACTGCCAAATCCCAAAGGGATGGAACTTTTCCCTTGCAATTCTGACTCCCCCTCTCGTTAGTCCTAACCCCGAGCATCGGGCTGGGATCGCTCTGGGAGCTGGGAACGGAGCCCTCCCTGTGCTGTTATTAAATTCTTGGTTTAGCCAAGCATTTGGCGTTAATTCAGGCATTCCCTGAATTCCAGGGATCCCTTGGCAATGAGGAACAGCTCAGCTACCCCGTGGTGCCCCTGGCACTCTGACTCTTGTCAGGCACAGAGGTGGGAATATCATTAACAAGAATATTCCACTGCGCTGAAAATGCTGCCAGGGCTCCATCCCTGCCCCTGCCTGCCCCTGACTCCTGGATTAAAATGAAATCCAAACACAGCATTAGGAAAACTGACACAAACTTGTGGAAATCAGTAACTACATTCTAGTTTATTGACTGCAGTCAAGTTTTATTATGCCTCAAATAATTAAATACTGCAACCATGACATTAAAAATACAGGCCAATTTACCAAAATAATTGTATTCTGAAGATTATGTACATATTATACATTTTACAGTCTCATGTAAACTTTTTTTTTTTTTTTTTTATACATAAGGTAAATCTGATTTATGGTAACTAGAAAACCCAAAATACTCACTGACAAAAATCTTCCTGTGAAACATAAGCACTGGATCTGGGACAATTAGGAAAATTGCAACGAATGGAAACCAACTATAAAACATAATATAATCAAGTTAGTAGAAAAATGAATTAAATTACATTCATATAAAAAAATTAAACTAAAAACATTGCTATGCATCCTTATAAAAAAAAAAAAAAAGGGAAAAACCCCCACTCCCTCTCCCTTTATATATTAACACAGCCTTTGATGGGGAGCTCCCCTGTGCCTCATTTCCAGCAATGGGGCATAGCCTGGGAAATCCAGATTCCCATTCTCCTTTAACATATATTAAATAACTAGTGTCTGTACCAATACAAATATTGTATAATTCATGCACTGGGATTATGTTCAGGGTAGCCCACACCAAGGCACAATTTTTGTGTCATTTCCCCCCTCCCCCTCGGGTTTCATGCAGTGCTGGAGATGTTTGCTGGGCTAAACAACTTCTGTGAGTTTCTGAGTCTCACCCTGGGGCACACAGAAATCCTTCCAGCAGATTTTTGTAAATAAATAAGGAAAAGAAGGTAAAGGCCTTAATGTTCAACATCTTGCACCAACTGTGTCAGCTCAGCTACCACACCCTCCAGAAAACATGGCACTGAGGCAACATCATTCTGGTTCTGGTCAAATATTTTATATATTAACTAGGACAAGGAAATTGCTGCTGCTGTAAATCTCCATCCCTGTGACAGCTGTAGTGTTTTGATTTGGCATAATGGAGCTCCAAGTCCAAATTGGTTTTTAGCTCCCAGCTCCTCTCAGCACAGCCCCATTTGCATGAGCAGCCAGGTACTGAATGTAATTGAAGTACCTGGGAATGCTCATTAAAATAAATGCATAATTGAACCATATCGAAACAGCTGCCAAAATTAACAGCTGCTAACTTGGCTGCATTCTGAAGGCTTGTAAAATTTGCATATTTTATAACTGTTCTGCACCTAGAAAAGGCCTGGTCCTGCAAAGGGCTCGGCCCTTGCTTGACTTTGTGAGGTTACAAGGAATAAGCAGCCCTTGGTCAGAATAAATCCAAGGAAGACAACGAGCTGGAGGGACTGAAGTCACCTGGATTTAGGCACTAGGAATCCTCCTTCAGTGTTGAGTGCACCTGACATGACACCAAACATTCTGGCAGGCCTGGACAAGGTGAAAAAGTGTATCCAAAATGGCCTTTATAAACCGTACCCAGAGTTACAAAAAATTCAACCTAGAGGATGTCTGGTTATGTAAAGCCTGGATAGAAAAGAAATCCTAATCTAGAGTATCAAAATATTGTATTCATATAAACACAGGACAGCACCTAATAGAAAAGTAAAAAGTGGAAAACACAACCTTTTTTTTTTTTCCTTTTTGAAATTAAATACCCTAAAAAAAGTTGGTTTAAAAAAAAACACAAAAAAAACAGGAATTTGTGTACTGGAAGAAGAAAAATGAAGGGAGGAACTACATCTCCCCTCTTCTGCGGGTTTTTGCTGCCACAGCTCTGCCTTCCTCCTCCTCCTCTTCCTCCTCATAATTTTCTTCATGAATTTCTTTCTGGTTATTGTCCTCTTGCATTTCTTGCTCTTGGTCTGTCCCTCTGTAAAACAAAACAAACTTACACACAGATTCAGTGCCAGATTCCTTATAGCTTAATTTAGGGCAATGAAATGATTTGCAGCTGGAGTTGTGAGAGCTGATGGGCAGAAACAGAAAATTAAAGGATTTTTCTAAAGCCTCCAGGGAGCAAGAATTGACACAGAGATGAAAGGGTGAGCTAAGGGAAGTTGGGACAGCATGAAATGTTAAGCTCTATGACCCAAAGCAAGCTGGAACAATTATCATGTCACATCCCTGTGCCATGAGCAGCTGTGGTCAGGGTTTGATCCTGTCCCTGGCCCCTGGGCTTGCACAGGACTCACATTTTCCTCGTTTTCCCCATAGGGCTCCTCAGCATTGTGCTCCAGCTCTGGCTTCTTCTCCTCAGACAGATCTTCCTGCACCTGCAAAGCACAAGAGATGTTCTGTATGGCTTAACTGCCTTTCAGAGAGTGGCCTGGGGCACAGCTGGGCACATTTTCAGTGATATTTTCACAGCATGAAGATTCTGAAGAAGGGAGAAGAGAGCAGCGAGGATTAAAAGAAGTTTAAGGAGGATAAAAAGAACCATAACCACCCAAGAATCAGGAAATTCACTTCCTCTGAGAGCATCTAACTTTTAAATACAATTCTCACAGACAGTCTCTTCCAATGCTCCCTTGGAGAGAGCAGGTCATGCTGGATCTGCGTCCCTGACGTTCAGCTTTTGGATCTCTCATTACTTTCTACTCTCCCTCCATTCCAGGCCCCACTTCCCATGTTAGGTGCAAATTTGAAAGAGGAATGTTTTGAAGTAAACTTGATTTCCTTTTGGGAAGTGCTGCTGTGCTGTCCTGTGAGCTGGGTCAGAGGCTTCCATCACAGCAGGAACATTTTGGGCAAGATCTGAACAGCAGTGGCTAATATCTGAGTTCACCCACTACAGAAACTGATCCCCACTGCAGCATCTCTTTTCTCTCTTAATTGCTCACTCCATCCCTGCTCCCTGTTCCCAACTTCCAGTCACAGCACAGTGGGCACATCCTTTCTGAGATGTGTTTAAATTGCTTCCTGGAAGCCAAAGAGCAGCAGCCAAAGGCCAGCTCTGCCCAGTTCCCAGTGGCCTGCTTGGATGTCAGCAGCAGCATTTGGCACTGGTGAATGCTAAGTGCATCCCAGCTAATCCAAAGTGCTCCCCACGAGGGAGTGACAGCAGCCACTTCCTGGGCTTTTTCTTGAAAGGGGCTTAGTGGGAAGCAGAAACAGGAATTAATCAGGTGCTACTGAGGGGCTGTGGGGTGGCTCAGGGTGGTGCCAGCACAATGAGCATGACATGAAGGAAGAAGTCCCTTCCCTCCCTCTCCAGCTCCATGTGCTGTCAGCTTCCTGAGCAACTCCAGGAGCTGCAGCTCGGATTGCTCAGGAGGAGCACAGATAAATCAAAGTCAGAGCTGAAGAGTAAGTGGCCAGGGAAGCAGTTTGCTCAGAACTGCAGTGTGTGATTAGAGATTAATGAGGTTTTCTGTGACCTTGAGGTTTCCAGGAAATTTTCCTTGTGTTGTGAAAGGCTTAATCTTTTCAATTATTGCACAATTAATGCTGTGTGGCATGGAAGACTAATGGATTGCAGCACAGGAGCATGAGTAACCCAGAGTGTATCCAGAAGGGGACAGCAGAGTAATGGCAAAGACTTCCCAGGTTTGCTCAAGTCAGACAAAGTGATTTGGGTTCATCCTGTGGACCTAAAAGACACCAAGGTTGGGTATTAACGGAGCTGTGCTCTTCTGCCTGAGCCTGCACCTGCCTTGGGTCTGTTCTCTTACCTCCTCTTCTCCCTCTTCCTGGTATTGTTCATCCACATTATCCTCCTGCTGGTCAGGATTTCCTGCCATCTGCACAAAGATCACATAAAAATTCAGTTCTGTGAGCCTGCCTAATAACCAGAGGGCTGAAGATTAAAGCTTCTTGTTCTGGAACTAAAGCTCTCTGTAAAGCTAAAGTAACAATAATGGCAGGGGAAGTTTTAGTGCATTCATTAGCAGTAGTGAGAGCTCAGCTCTGTGATTTAAAATTGCCCTCAATTAAAAAATAGCAGGATGAATGTAAGAAAAATCACTTCCCAGAATAAAGCAAGACTTTCCATACTAAGCAGGAAGACAACAGAATATTCACCCCATTGAAGACCAATGCCATAAAAATTCTCTCTGCCTGGAGGAGTTTACAGCTCCAACACATTGAAATGTGCAGCCTTAACCTCCTGAAGGAGCCCTAGAGGTGCCTCTTTTGCCTTTACCCACCACCAAGTGCTCCTCCATTCCTGGATGTCCTTGTTTCTGACCCGTTTCCTTGTGCTTTTCATTTTCATCAGGCAAGTTTTCTTCTCTCTCTTGCTCAGCTTCTTCAAATTCATCTTCTCCCTGATTATTGGGGTCATCAGCAGGATTCACATCTTCCATGGCTGCCTTCTGTAATTTACAGGAGTGTTAAACACTTTTAGCTCCCGCTCCAGTCACATTTCCCTTGAAAGAGCAGCAGTGTGGGCTGTCAGAGCAAGCTCCATCCCCACTGGCAGCTGCTGGAATCTGCAGGAGCAGGGCTCACTGAGTACCTCAGCAGTGAGCAGGGACAGAGGTGAGGTCCCTGTCTGCTGAACCCCACGGGAGCTGAGCACTTCTGTCCCAGAGGCTGCCGAACAGCTCGTGTTTACTGACTGACAGTCCCTGATAAGCCCATGTGAACAAAGATAAGGGTTTAATGCTCACACAGAGCTGATGGCATCATTCAGTATCAGCCTGCCCTGCCCTGCTGACCTTGGCTATGTCTACAAGAAAACAAAACACTTTTCACCTTTGCCACGCAGAAAAGGAGAAGTTTCTGCTCATCATTCAATTGAAGCAGTTTTATGTCTTTGTAGACAACAAGTTAAAGATCTCTTAGAAATATTCACTGTACATCTTAATTTGCTGAATGGGAGGGGAGTAAGGAAGATGCACTTGATATTGACAGCACCAGGTAAACTGGAACTTGGGAAAAGGCACAGGGGGATTCTCCTGCCCCAGATCTCTGTGCAGTTGATATCAGGGCTCAGTTCAGAGCTGACCTACATCCTCTTTCTACACCTCACACCTCTCTACTGACTCCAGCTGGCTACAGTGGCTCTTGAGCTAGCCTTTAATTAATGACAGCATAAAAAATACCATCCCCTCTCATTTTGACTGGGCACTGCTGGTATTTTTTGAAGCCAAATGTACCTGTTCAAGTCCCAGCCATGACCAAGTCCTTTATTCCACCAAAAGCACAGATCAAAGGAATGTGGAAATAAACACCTTGCTTCCAATAAGGAAGCTCTTTCCTTCTATTTCTTCCCAAATGAGTAAGGACACCCTTAAATAGATTTTAGATGTTGTTTTCAACTGTCAAACCTATCCTCCTAGCAGACCTCTGCTTATCTCATTTCTATGAGGTGCAATTATGTCAGACGAGACCTGTGGGTTCTCACTTCAGTAACACTGCAAGCCTCAGCATCTTAATTCATACTTACTGATTCATCAGCCTGATGATTTTCTGCCTGATGTTCTGTTTCTTGCTGTTCATTTGCATTATTCTGATCATCATCTTCACCTTCATCCTGGTGCTGGTTCTCGTGTTCATAAGCTGAGGAATTTTTTAGGTGGTTATTGTTTTACAGCAGTTTTTAGTTATCCTCTTAAGAGTCTCCCACAGACAAGGTTCCACACGTGCTTTTAGCAGTGGGCAGCCTCTACATAAACAGATAATGCTCACAGAATTGATTTACTCCTAGTAGGAAACAGAAATTAAAAGATCAGGCCAGGCTGGATGGGGCACTGAACAACCTGGGCTAGTGGAAGGTGTCCCTGTCCATGGCAGCCCAAACAATTCCATGAATCTGTAATTTAAAGAGATCAAACAAATTCATAGGCAGAGCCAGGAACATTACCAAGATCCCCAGAGCCTGGTAATAACAGCTCAGTCAAAAAGACACTTTTCCTTTCAGGAATGTGGATATGATCTTTAGTAATTCCTCTATTTCATGCAGTCACTTCAGCCATGGTTATTTGAGCTTCTGGTTTTAAATTGCGAGTTTATGTTTCACTTGAATCCAATCTGGATATGAAATGAATATTAAAGCCTCCCATGCAAGGCAGTACACAGGGAGCCTGTGAGCATGGCAGGGACAGAAATTCTCTCTTACCTCCTTCCTCTTCCTGAATACCTTGCTCTTCCTCCCCTTGTACAATGTCCTGGTCCATGTTATCATAATGAGCCTGTTGGCTGAGAACATTAAAAGCCAAGCATCATTTCAGTTTCCAAAGTGTGTTTTCTGCTTTAATAAACAAACCCCCCACCTGCAGCTCTGCCTCTCTCAGCAGCTGCCAGAACAGGCTCCAGTTTCATGCTCTATTATCTGATATTTTCTCACTCCACCTTTCCTGAAAAATGCTTGACAGAACAGAGACTTTCTTGGGCTGACTTGGAGTTGTGTGTCTCTGTGTGTGGAGTCTGCAGTCCTGAAGGATATGGGTCAGCAAAGAGTAAAGTCAGGACTCTGAATTTTAGGGATCAAATCTCCAGCTCTCTAAGGAACTGTCCAACAGAACCCCCTGGAAATCTGCCCTCAGGGACAAGGGAGCACAACAAAGCTGACAACACAAAACCCAGAGCACGACAAACTCACGAGGGAGAGTTGAACCTGAGGTGCTTTTTGTAGAGTTTCTCCCCTTGCTCTGCCTGTCTCTGCAGCTGGAGCTCTCTCTCCTGGAGCTGCTGCTGCCTCAGGAGCTGCCCTCGCAGCCTCTGCTGGCGCAGGGACTCCTGCTGCTGCCGGAGCTGCTTGGCCTCCTCTGCTCTCTGGGCTCCCAGGTGCTGCTGCTCCAGCTGCTGCTCATAAGCTGCTTTCTGTCTCTTTGTTGGCTTTATCTGTCACAGAAATGTGTTAAGAGAAATTAATCATCCTTTCAGTGATCAGAAACAAGCAGGGAGAAACCTGTCCAGAGGGGAAAACAAACCCTATGCAATTACAGCAAAGTTATTTTTAAGATTTTGTGTCCCTGCCTGCTTGAAGTTAAAACATTTTTTGGAACACAGACTGGAAGTGTTGGGGTGTTTTTGGAACACACAGGGAAGGAAGTGGAGATTGTGGGCTAAGGAAAGCCATGATTTTCCTATAAATAATAATAAAACCTCCCAACATATCACACAGTAAAAGGAGGTTTTGATGACTGATAAGACAGCAAAAGTTCCTATTGATTTAAGTGGTAACCTCAGGGAGAGTTGCTTTTAGCCTTAAGAGAGACACTGCACTTCTTTTTATACTCAGCAATAACTTAGGCTAACTCCAGCTTCACAGCTTAACCCATTGCTGCTGTTCTGACCCCCTGCACCTCTTCAGCAACAGCTCCTGGTTACACCACAGTGACACAATGCATCTGCCAGGACACAAAGTGTCTACAAAGCCTCTAGTCAGACCAGTGAAATACACTTTGCACTGCAGATCCAATCCGGGATGTAAACCCAGGATTTGCTGGTTTTATTTAGAGCTGCACACTGATTTCCCCTGCCTGTTTTAGTCAAGTTTGTCTGGCAGTTAAAATTCCCTGTCCAACAGCAGTGAGCACTGAGCTGGCAGTGTGTTTGCAGAAGGCAGGTACCTCTGACAAGGAAACACTCTGCAATTTGCTGAGATGCATCAAGTTACCAAAGCAGAGCAGTTCTCCATCCCAGCCTCCCTCTCACCTGCTGAGCTCTTCATCAGCTACCACAGGCCTCAGGTTTAAAGTGGGACACAGGATTCAGTCTGCTGCTATTTTTATTTTTTTTCCCCCATCTGTTGCTTTTTATCAGCAGAATTAATGTTCATTAAGATCTGGCCAGCACTACAGTACAAGTGTGCTCAAGTTGAGCCTGAATCCTATTGCATCCAAGTGCTTTGAATCCCAAATTTTCTATAAACATGACAGTAATTTTATCTAAAAAACAGTGAGTGCTCTGAATCCCAAACTCTCTATATAAACTATTTTGCCTAGAAATAGGTGACTGCAATACAAGGCCAGGAGTGACAGGAGAAGCCTCCATTTAAACAACAGATTTAATCAATTAGAAAAGAGCTCCCTACCTCTGACTGCAGGTGATCACCCAACATGTTGGTTTCTTCTTCCTTTTGCTCCTGCTTTTTCCATTCGTGCTCTTCTGGGACTTGGTCCTGCTCCTCCTCCAGGTGCTCAGGCTGCCCTGCCTGCTCCATTTCTTCCTCCTCAAGCTCCTTTTTGCGTTCTTCTTCCATCTGCTCTGCCCTTTGCTCCTCATCCTCTGCAGCTCCTTGCTGCTCCTGGGCGTCCTGGCCCTCGGGAGCCCCTCCCTGCACGTGGGAAGGCTCAGCCCTGTCCCGTTCCTGGCTGTTTATTTCTTCTCTCTCCCTTGGCTTCTCAATCTGCAAAACAGACACAGGATTCTGTGTGTACAACACATTCATGGATTTCAGTTTCAGGAGAGCCAAGGACAGACCTGGATCCTTTATGCCAGCCTGGAGCTGTTGTCAGGAGGGCCAAATGCCTGGTTTGGAACGAGCTCCTGCTGCCACGTGGGGTCATCACCTGGTTTGTGGCAGCACAGATACACAAGGTGGTGTACAGTTCCACCACAAATCAAGCCTCATTTCAGCTGAAGTGGAATAAAAACTCTTACAATCCTACAAAGCCAGCTTTGTGTTTTAGAGACACAATTTAGTGCTGGCTTTGGTAGAATTGGGTTTGCAGCTGGAAGATCTTGAAGTTCTTTTCCAACCTAAATGATTCCATGATTTTTATTTGTTGTAGGTTCTGCTGGCCAAAAATTCTTGTAAAACAAAATCACAACTGGTTTTTCTTAACTTCTAGATTACACATTTTCTGCTTGAACCTTGGTGTGCCAATTTCAAATACACTGACTTTAGTGTGCCACTGGAACTTTATAGAATAAAAATTTCCTCAGAACTTCTAAAAGCTTTCTGTAACACTTGAGGTAGCTAAAATTTTAGATTTCTTCTTTAAAAATATTTAGATTTTGAGCAACTTCATAAAACAGCTGGCATAAATACACTTAAAACTGGACGAGCCATGAGAGCAAAGATCATCATGAATAGATTTTCCTACCACTCAACAATTAATCCATTCCTCACTGCTTTCCTCCAGAACTGACCAAGGTGCACAGCCAAACACACACCCTAAGAGACATCCAGCAGCTTCTGCTGAATCAGAACCATTCCTGGGGTGTCTGAAGCCTTTTACCTCCTGCTGCTGCTCAGCCCCAGCTCCGTGCTGCTCCGGGGGGCGGCTGTGGGGGGACGGGCCCCGCACCTCGGGCTGCTCATTCCCTCCTTCCACCTTCTCCAGATCTTGGAAACTTGGGATTTTTTTGAGGGTGTCCTTCAGCTGTTTGTATTCCTCCACCTGAGTCTAAAGCCAACATGTTAATTACAGTGTGTCCAAATTAATTTCTTCATCAAATGTAGTCACTTTGGAGCAAAGTTGCTGGCAGGACACATGGTAGAAAACTCGATATTTCAGGGAGGAGAAGGGATGGGAGCTTTTAAAATACAGTTTTATCCTCCAAATATTAGATGACACTGATCCATCAGGATCTTTTCAAAGTGCACATGCATACAAAGTGTATTAAAAACATCTCTGTGGGACAAAGAAGAGGTGTTGTTTTATTCATGCCAAGCAGGAGAAGTGTCAGAAGGGGATGATGCAGCTTTCCTGGCAGACTGAAGTGAGGGAAGTCGAGAGCACCACACTTCTCCTTTGCTGATAGAAAGAAGTGCAGTTCTTTCAGAAAGAAGAGTTTTGAAGTACATCTACGTGTCGTGGAAATGCCAAGTCCTCAGCATTTAGACAGGTGTTAGACAAGACAACAGCCAACATACAGAACTGAGGCAAAGAAAGTCACAGTGGTGAAGAGCAAGGGGAAAAACAGAAGGGAAAAAAAGAAAAGAAGGAAAATGTAAATTTCTATAGGCTTCCTGAAATGCAACAGTAAAATGTTGGAATTTGATCTGCTGTTTAACTTTGGACAAGATCAGGAAAGCTTTAAAGAAAACCCAGCAGGGCTGGTACCCCAATCCCTGGCTCTGCAGCAGGAAGATTTCCAATTAAAGAGGATTTTTAGGGGTGGGCAGGGTATAAAAAGCTGACCAGCTGCACACTCAACAGGTGCCACACCAGAGAGTTTCCCTGCTGCTCCAGGGGAGGTGTGGCCGTGTTTATGGACCCCTAAAACAGAATGGCCTAAAGGGAAAGCAGAGTGCACAGTGATTACCCCTGTCTGTCCAGGGGGATGCTCCTACTCCTACATTAACTGCTGGAGAGGACAAACTTCAGAGGAAAAAGGAGTATTTACTGAACATAAAACTGATACTCAGGTCTCTGGTTATTTTTTCTCTGCCTGCAGTGGCCGTGCAGAGAGATGAACACACTGGGATATGTTGGAATGGGTCCAGAGGAGGCCGTGGAGAAGCTCCAGGGGCTGGAGCTGGGCTGGGAGCGCTGGGGATGCTCACCTGGAGAGGAGAAGGCTCCAGGGAGAGCTCAGGGCCCCTTCCAGGGTGCAAAAAGGCTACAGGAGAGCTGGAGAGGGACTGGGGACAAGGGATGGAGGGACAGGACAAGGGGGAGTGGCCTTAAGCTGAAGGAGGGAAGGTTTAGATTTGATATTAAGAATAAATTCTTTACTGTAAGGGTGGTGAGGTCCTGGCACGGGTTGCCAAGAAAGGTTGTGGACTCCCCATCCCTGGGAATGTCCAAGGCCAGGTTGGACAAAGCTGGGATTACCCTGGGATAGTGGAAGGTGTCCCTGCCCATGGCAAAGGGTGGAATTAGATGAGCTTTAAGGTCCCTTCCAACCCAAACCAGGCCATGATATTTAAACAGTGCCCATCCAGATCAGATTCAAGTGCTCTGCTCTAGTGCAGAGTCACTAAATTGAACATTTTGATTCAAGGCCAGAGTTTAAAAGGTGCTGATGCTGGCAGAAAAGAAGGTTTATTAATATATGTAATTAATCTGCCTGGTTGGGAAAAAGCACAAAGACTAAAATGCTTTAAAGATTCAGGTTAGTGCAGTATTGACTACTGGTATTCAATGTCTAGAACACCTAGAAATAGAGGGATCATTTATGGAGCTGAGAAAGAATCCCCTGGGGATTTTCTGCAGCTGGTTTGCAGGAGAAACTACACAAAAGTGTGAAATACCCTCTGTTCTCAAGGCATGTGCAAGACCCTTCTCTGGAGGGTCCCCACAGGACAAATGTCACACCCTGGCTGCAGACAGAGAGGCTTTGTGTGGCACAGGCTTCCTAATTAAAGAACTGAATCAAAGCCAGGAGTGTGGGGAGCTTCCCTTTGGGTTTGGTGAACCTTAAATCAGCCCCTCCACGTGGCCTTGTGGAATTTCAGATGCTGTCAGCACATACCACACAGCAAATGTGGGAGAAGAGCTCAACATTAGCTGCCAGTGTGGTTCAGCACTGCAGATTATGATTCTTCAGATACTCAGTCTATGAGGGACCTTCCTGATCTTTCCCTATTTTTTTTTAATATCTACACATATTGACAGCCACAACAAGCAGAACTGAGGAAAAAAAAAATTCAATGCTTTTAATACTGCTAACGATTTTGTGGACTGTGAAAATGCCTAAATGAAGAAAATCAGTCAGGAATAAAAATAACTTCACACTGCCTCATTGCCTTTCCCTCTGATCTTTCACCAAAAGTCTTCCTCTGCTGCAACATCACTCCCACTTTCAGATTCCCTGTGGCCTCCACAGCTTGGGCTGGCACAGCTGACTGAGCCTGCAACAGTTTGTGCTTTGTGGATAGTTCACTTGAAAATGACATTTAAGAAACTTAATGGTGCTGGCTCTTCTCAGAAGCAATTTGAGTTCCACCTGGAGTTTCCATACCTCCATACACATCTCCATCTATGCTCTGCAGCTACTGCACTCCTCTGTACTCAGAGCAGCTGTGGCTGCCCCTGATCCCTGGGAGGCCGGGTTGGATGGAGCTGGAAGCAATCTGGGAGAGTGGAAGGTGTCCCTGCCCATGGCCGGGGGTGGCACAGGATGAGCTTTTTCCAAACCACTCTGGAATTCCATGGAAGCCTCACAACCTCTCCAGTCACACACAAGAAGAGATTTTAGCCCAGCATCCAGGTCTAAGAGATCAATGTGAAGGTCAGAGCACAGGATGCTCGCAGCAGCCCCGTCAGAGAGGACAGAAAGAGAAAGGCACCGACAGCTCTCAGGGAAGCAGAGGCTCCTTTCTCAGGAGCACATGCACTGCTGGGCTGGCCACAGCCTGCCCTGTGCCCCGAGCCCCTGGGAGCTGCTGCAGCCTCTGGGGAGCAGCCCCTCCGTGCCATGCACCTCCTGGGATCCCCATGCCAAAGGCACATGCAGCACCCTGCAGCCAGCCGGGCCACCAGGGGTTTGGGAAACAGAGATTTGGGAAGCTGAGAGCCGGCAGGAGCTGCTTTCCTTCTGACCTGAGCAGCAGCTAGTGCACTCTTGTGGTCTTCCAATGTCACCACAAGCTCGTTGTGCTGGGACAGTAAGTTCTTATGCTGTTGCTACACAAAAAGAAGAACATCACACGTTTCACATAAAGTTCATTCTAAAGATCAGTTAGGGAGGCTGGGGGGGGGGCGGGTTTGAACTAGGAAGATAATTCAATTTATTTTGGAAAGAAAATCCTTAGCTGGAATGACAGCACTTATTTATTTCACATGGAATGCATATTAAACAGGGAGAGGAAGCAAGCACACCAGGGAAGGCAATTTGGAGGCCAGGATTTGTGTAACTAAAATAAAATTAAAAGCAGGGGTAGATGTTGATGAACATATTAAAAAAACAGAGCTGGAAAACATTTAGCATTGAGTTTTGCCAAAACCCAATTTTTAACTTGTAAAACCAAATTCTGATTTCTATGCTAAATACTTTTTTTTTAATGGGCATATACCTAAAGTGCAGGTGACCAAAGACAAATCCAGTTCAGCCTACTCCTCTCCTTTTTCCCAAATAACAGAAACTAGGAGTCTACAGCACAGCCTGCTTTGGGCTTGGGAAAACTTGGAATGTTTTTTCTTAATGATCTTGGAAGTTCTCCTCAGAGCAAAGCCTACCTTGACATCCTGTAGTTGGGTGTGAATGTCCTGGTGAGCTTTTCTCAGCTGCCTGTTCTCCTCCCGCAAGTTATACAGAGATTCTGTAGAAAAGAAATTAAAAGAAATACAGAATTTAAACCTGGCTGGATTTCTAAGACCAGATACCAAAATTAAGACTATAACACAGTCTATATAAAATCCCACATGAGTGCTGTAGTAAAAATTAGGCAGAATAATTGTATGGTTTGTTTTTCTTACCTCTCTCCCCAGCCTTATTAAAAGCTTTCCATTTTCAAGCAGAAAATTGTTTGGTGACATTTTCTATCAGAGCACCCAGCCTGCACCTGGAATTCTGCATCACTGCTCTCGCTGGGCGCTGCAGATGGCAGAATTCCCTGTGGAAATCTGAATCCTGGAAAGGCAGAGAGGAAGGCACCCTCCTCTCTTTCCCCACATCATACCTGGCAAGTGAGAATTTTCTGTCACAGGACCCCCTTTGAAAGGGATGCCCAGACGGCTCCAAAAGCTTCTGGGATCAGGGAAAGAGGTTTCTATTCCCACTTTTTCCATGATGTTGACATGGAGCCAACAAACAACCTCTGCCTGCAGTGCAGACAAAGCTGCAAACAGCTCCAGAAGCAGCCCCTGTGTTAGAGAAGACTCTGATGGACACAGCCCCATCCTTTTCTTCTGTGGAACTGTGAATTGAGGATGGAAGAGGCCTGAAAACTGTCCAGAATCTCAAACAGGAAACTGGATGCCAAGAGTAAAAACTGAATTCATCACCCAAGTGTACAGGTGCAATGTGCTCCAGAGGAGCTGGTACACACAGGGAAAAAGGAGGTATAAAATGCAAATAAACTCACTTCAGAAAGAGGCACATTTACATCTCTGCTAGCAGTGGCAAATATTCTTAGATTGTCTTTCAGTTAAAAAAAAGAAGAGGCAAACCCTTTTTTTCAGGTTTATACCAGTCTTAGAATTAAAAATTAAAGACAGACTCAACAATCTCTGACACTCGACAGGCTTTAAATGCTGGGTTTTTTGCTATTTCTGTGACCCAGACAGAAACACAGAGCACATATGAACAGATTTCAGAGAGAGGCCTCAGAAAATCATCAATAAAATATAACTTGTCAGGAGGCAGAAGATGCACAAACGACCTGTGAGTGAGAACAGAGGAAATGCCTCTCTCACACCACACAAAACACAGTGCCAAACACCCAATTTAATGTGGGCAGCCAGACATAGGCTAAATTTACCCTTCAGCTTGGAGATCTCCTGTTCCTTTTCCTGCTGCAGCTGCAGGTATCGCTCTTTGTGATCACTGAACGTCCTGCTAAACTCCTCTCCTTGTTTTCGGTGATCTTCCTCAAGGTCAGCGTGCTGTTTCTTTAGTTCTTCGTGTTGACTCTGCAAATACCAAGTTGGGACACTGCAACAGCTCTGTATCTGCAGATCTGGCTAATATTGTCTTTGGCAATTTGTTTAGGAAGTGCAGATGAATAGGAAGCATTCATAACAGGAAGGTTATTATTCAAAGCATGCACATTGCAGCTCCTTCCAAACACAAAATGATCTCTGTGATGAGCAGGCTCCTGTTCCAGGGTTGTGTCACCTCACCCCAGAGCTGCACTGTCCCCCTGGGAGCTGCTGAATGTGTCTCAGAAAATCCCTACGTGCCAAACTACATGAGGGCTGATAAATCAGCGATCCCTACAAGTAACTGCATCTGATGAGATTAAATCACCCACTGGAAAGCCTGACTAGGAAAAACTGCAGGAAACCATCTTTTACAAGTGAGAGGAAGGCACTGTCCACACCCTGACACTCTGCAGTGATGCCAGAAGCCGGGCAGGCCGTGTCTCCCCAGCAGAACCAGTTCCACAGGAGCTCTGCTGTCTCAGTCACCCACCTTCAGCATCTGGTGCTGCACGCTCAGAGCGCTGTATCTGCTGTTGGAGTCTTGCTGGAAAACAAAAGCACTGGTGTGAAACCCCCTGGCACTGCCCTGAGCTCTGCACCTGCAGCTTTTGGGGGTCACCAGCCAAGGGATGCAGCTCCCCAGGACACAAATCCACCTCTCCTCTGGCCCTGGAGCCAGCTCCCACACTCTGCACCCACTGCAGCAGCAACCCATTTCAACTCCTGCTCCTCAGCTCCCAAACTGCTCCCCAGTTCCAACATGAAATAGCCATAAAATCCTAATTTACTTGCTTTATAAAGAGTTCTCTACAGGTCTCTGGGTCCTCTGCCAGATAGAGCTTTCCTTCTGGCACTTGGTATATAAAACAAAGTTTCTTGATGTTTTTTATACTTTCCAGTTCAAAGCCCATGTGTTAGAAAGCTGTCACTGTTCTTTTCCCTGGGGGCTAAGCTACAAAATATTTCTAACACCTTCTTATTCCCCTTTCCCCTTAAATAAAACAACATTACGTTTGAACTACCATAATATAAACAGGGGATTATTTTCTAAATTAATTTTCTGGAGAGGTATTAGTATCTCCTACTATAGCTCAAATAATTAGGAATTGGAGAACACTTATGAATGCAGAGTAGAACTGGGATAAGTGAGAGCTCTTTCAATTAATATTTTGCAAGATCTCTTCCTTTGAACAGCTATAATTGCAAAGTATTTCCTTTTCCTTGCAACTCAAATAGCATCAGCTATTAAAAACTTATACTAGGAATGATGACTTACCCTTCCTTTATTTAGTGTTTCCTGTGCTTCTAGTTTATAAACAAGAAAATCTGCAACATAAAAGGGAAAGTACTGATGAAAAAAAAAGCACCAGGAAGATGAGAATCTGTGCTTGAATAACTTGACTGTTGAGTACATAAATTCTCTTTAACAGCTGAATATTCATGCAGAAACAATTTTCAAAGGATCTTAAAAAAAAAAAAGAAAAGAAAAACAAGAAAAACAACCTATGGAGAATTTGACAAAATGTGCAAATTTTAAAATGCACAAACTTGGAAAAGTTTTATAAAATATTTTCACTTAAAGGTCTCATACCATAGTGAGAGACACAGAGTTCAGGCTCAAATCTATAGGGTAATTAAATATGATGTGTGAACTCTCTCAGCAGAGGCCCAAGGGCATAAAGGCCTTTTATAAACTGCTTATTCTTGGAAATAATGAAACATTTCCTCATTCATTTCCAGACCTCTCTCTTGCCAGGGTTTGGAAAGGCGTCTCCCCCTTGGGTAGCAGCAGGACCATTCTACACTAGATGGCACCAGAAACCCACCAAGACCTGCATGGTGAGAATCATTTCTAACTCTTTGACAGCTTTGCTAAAGCCATATTTTTAATTCAGCAGCTGAGTCCTCAGTTCTAGGAAGAACAGAGGCTCTACCCTGAAAGTTGCAGTGAATTTAGAGGCCGAGGAAACTCAGAGGATTGAATCCTGCTGAACTTCCACAGAGGGCACAACTGTAAGAAATACAATTTGTGTTTGCCTCACACACACCCAGAATTTAGTTTTAATCAGGAAAAGTTGTATAAGCGTGTGCTCACCCTAAAGCACATTAAAAGTACTGATTCCAAGTTTAATTTCCAGTTGATGGAATGCAGGAAAAGATCCCATGGTTTTGGTGCAAGTTTTGAATTTCTGGCAGGCCAGGGCAGGATTTACACATGTCCATACCCCACATACATGTTGGTTTTTTTATGTACATGGATACAAACATATTCTTTGTGTATATTACTTCATATGGCAGTCATCAGTAAATAGTATTTAAAAGATGACTGCTTTTCAAAAGATCCAATTAAAAGAGATTAAATAAAAAATAACTACTAGAAAGAGCAGCACAACTCTGCTAAGAGGATCCTAATTTTACCCAACTTATTTAAACTTGAATAAAAAACATTTGCAACTACTTTCTACTATAATCAAGTTAAATATCCAAGTGAAAAGTACATTTCTACCTTCTTTTGCTTTCTTATGTTCCAGCCTTTCCTTTTGCAATGACTTCTCTAATCTTGACCGGTGCTCATAGACAACTGAAAAGAGAAATTTTGTACACAATTCATTTAAAAAGTAACATACACAAGCCTCAGCACCCAGCCCAACACACCCAGGGAATGTTGGCACAGGATGCACCAGGAAAATACAAGTGGAATGAGGTCATGGCATAAAGGGCTGTTTGTAACCCTTGTGACAGTAACTTTTTCCCCTCCTGCATCCTTCACCGATCCCAAATCCTGGGTTATTTGCATCGCTAAACACAGCATGAGATAACCAGGTGAGGGATTTGTTTGTGGAATCAGCCAGCTGTGGTGGAGCTACCAACCCCTCTCTGCTTCTCAGGAATGCAGGGACATTTTCCATGTTTCCATCCTCCCCTGCCTTGTTTGCACAGAGACGAGGAAATAAGACAGGCCAGCTGCGCTCCAGAGGAATTCCTGGCAGCACAAGAAGTGTCACGAGGAGGGAAGGGAGATGCCCAAGGGCAGGAGAGCTCCAGGAGGTGCAGCAGGGCACAGCAGCTTCACCTGAGGCACGGGGAACCTGGGAGCCACCCTGAATTCTTCCCAGAACTGGGAATACAGTCTTCCTCTGCACTGTCTCCCAGCAAAAATTACTCCCAAAGACTGTCCAAGCTGCCCATGATTCCTTTGCAGACACCATCCCAAAATGGGGTTTGCATTTATGACTTTGTTGTATCCAGGTGTGTTTAGGACATACAACATCCTCTGGCATGAAGCTCCTCCATCTGACTGCCAGTAAAGCAGGATTTCATCCAGCCTGTGTTTGGAGATGGAGTTTGGGATGTGACACATCAGTCCCTATGTATCCTTTCCTCACCTCTCTGTGAGGAATTCTGAATAATCCTCTGTGAGCATTATCTGAAACAGCCAAGTTTGCAGCAAATATATCAATTAAAACTCATGGAAATGTATAATTTTAAGTGTTTAAGCTCAGTTTAACACTGAATATCTTTCACTGCCCAAATTACTTTTTTTTTTTTATTATTCTTTTAATGAGTTATTAATTGGTATTAAAACAATGAGTGATTTTTTTTCATCAAAACCAGGAAGCTCATTCTCTGAGAATAAACCATTGGTGAATACAAGCATTCAACAAGAAACATCAAATAAAGATTTGCATCTTGGCAGCCACAGAAAACTCCTCTTGCACCTTAAAACATGTTCTTAATTCCACCAAGGTGCATTCTGCAGCCTTATCTACAAGTGTTTACGTTTTAGCTCCAAAGCTGGATTGCTAATCAATCCCTGGCACCTATCTCCACTTTGTTATTTATCTGCCAAAGTCAAGGGCACCAGTCAAGATGAGCCAATGTTCCACCCTCTGGAAGGAAACAAGCAGGCAATGAATATTCACAAAGTCACCAGCAGGCTTGGAGAAGGGAGGAAAAAAATAAAAAGGCAGCACTACACAGCACTACAGTGATGGTTTTATTTAGGTCCTGGAGGTGGTGAATGCTGAATTATTGTGCAAAAGGAACAGTGGCTGCAGCACAGCAGCTCAGGAGAGCAATGAAAATCCATAATGGCTTTCCCCTCCCATGCAATCAGGGTGGAACAGGGTTTCTGGCAAACACACGAAACCACAAATGGATTTGGAGGGAACATTTTCCGTTCCACTTCTCCGTCTGCAAGTGCACCTTCCACAGCTCCTCCTGGTGCTTTAACAAGTGTAGGGGGAGAGCCCTGCCCAGCAAACCCATCACAGGGGCAGGAGAAGGCAGGATTTGGGCTTTAGGGACCTCCCAGAGCTCAGAGCATCCCTGCTGAGCTCTGGGTTTCACCCTGCACTTGCAGGGTCTGAACACAGGCAGTGCCTCCTCTCCTCACCTGCCGAGTGCAAGTCCTTGAAATCCTGGGACAGAGCTGGAGATGTCCTCAAACAACCCCTCAGGTGACTAAAAAGGGCAAGGAAAAACCTCCTCCCTCACCTCTGCCCTTTGAGGTCAGTTACTGGTTGGCCTAGCACGTTCCTCTCTGATAAAAGTCCACAAAGTGCAATGTCCTGAAGGTGTTGATTAAAAATAATTAACAAAGCCCAGCTCCCATGTTTTCTCACTTGCTCCTTTGGGCAGTAGGTTGCAGGTCAGATTTATAATTACATATTGGAGTTAATCTCCCATAAATTCCCATTCTTGCCACCAGTTAGGAACTTTAGGAAGAGCCCAAACAAAGGGCTTTTTACTACAGCAGGAATTTCTCCTTCTTCACTGCCAGCTTGGATATAAGATGTCTGAGCCAGAATCTGAAAGAAATAAATACACTGAAAAACAGGTTTTATAGAAAAGTCCAGCCCAGCAGAGGGTGGAACCTATATAAGGAATCTGACAAAATCCCACTGCTGGGATGCACAAATCATTTTTAACTTGGGTAAGCTTTTAATTTTGCACTGATCTTTGCAAAAATAATTGAACTTTATTTCTACAGTATATTTAACAGAATGGTAAAAAAGAGTGGGGAAATGCTGTCATTTAATGGCTTATAGGCACTACTCCAAAGCTGGAATTACTGCAGGTGTCACCTTAATTCTTGAAATTACCTATGGAGTGCAACCTATACAAATGAATGAAGATCCACAAACTCACAGAGCCCAGAAACTCAACTGGTAACCTCACAGATCAATAAAAGACCTTATACCTCCAACAAGGAAACACTGAACACTCCTGGAACTCATCCCAGTAAAATCAAGTCCTCAAGATTTTCCCCATAAAGACAAGGGAGTGAGGGAGAAGAGAGGTGTGGAATGGCCAGATTACATCACTTTGACCAGTGCTGAACGTTAATTACAACAGAGGAGTCAGGGAGGTGATGAAATTGAGATTATTTAACAGTCAAGGTTCCTTCCCTTATCTTTGCTCTGTACCTGTAAGCAATAAAGCAACTATTAAGCAAAATAAGCCATTATTCTACATTTAAAAGAAAGCATTTCCTAGTTTACATTTTCAGCAATTTTGTGACTGTGTTGCTTTAATTATTTAGTCTGTCAGAAGGATGATCTAGAGTCTAAAATGCCCCAGCTCCCTGGAAAATTAAGATTACATTGGGATTTAAATATACACGATACAAGAAATTTTACTAATTTCAACATGACTGCTTGTTACACAATTCTGCACTCTTTCTCTGAGCTTACAGTAATACCTTTCACTTAAAACCAGGGGATTTCAGTAGTCTTGGCAACACTCAGCGTTGTTTTCCCTCACACTGTGGCAGAGTTGAACTGAACCAGCAGCGTGGGGTAAAGCACACTGCACCTTTCTAGTGGCACTGCAAAGGCCTGCAGAACACAGACTTGCCACAAAAAGAGTTCATTCCCCATTCTTGTCCCTGCAAATAGAACCATTTAAAATGTGAACCCAGGAAGAAAACTTTTCTGCTGATAGTAAGAGGAATCCCTTCAATATGGGCTGTAGGATAAATTCTCTAATCCATTGACAATAATTAAAATTTTGACCTTTCATGACTCCTCTGACACATTTCATGCTGGGAGGAGATATTATTAATATAACAATTGGCTCCCCAAGCTTCCAGACCTTTATTTAAACTAGTGAATCTGCTTTCAAAATAGATCCACTGATATCACTACTGATAATCTGATCAGAAACAGATTATCAAAGTGCAGCAGCAGGATTCCCCAGTATCACAGTGTGAGCTCCATCTCCTTCAGAGACTCAACTGAGGGTTTAGCAATAAATGGATATTCCAGTGACACAGCCAATATCTTGGAAAAAATGGAAGTATTCCCACAATAAAGACTAGAAAATATTAGTTTTAAGTACAGAGCAAGAAAACAACATTACAAAAAACATCTATTTATCACAGAAAGGTTTGGCTTGGAAGGGAGCTTAAAGTTCAGCTTGTTCCATCCCTCTTCACCTTCCACTGGACCAGGCTGCTCCAGGCCATAATATTTACAATATATTGAACAAAATATTGAAGCCATTTAATAATTTATGTCCTTGAAGTTTTCTGGTTTGAATTTCCACAAAAAGGACAGAAATAGAAACCAAGTTAATGCAAAACTGATTGTGTGTGAGGCTTCATTGTGGAACATCAAGGCAGGGATGGACTGCTCTCATTTTGCTCTCTGCAAACCACTGCTGGCACTGTGTGGACTATGAGAATTATCTTTACTTCCAAACAAACTCCTACACTTTGCAATTTACTCACGTAATCAAGTAATGGTTTTGTCTAATTACAGCCAGTCATGTCTAATTCCTCCTGGAAAACCACACCATGGACTGGCAGTTGTGCTTAAAAATGACCCCTGCTTTGACTGAATTCCCTAATCATTTATTTTGCTCAGAGTAGTAATAATTTGAAAAGTTTGTATTTAACGTCTGGATCTTTACATTCAGGGGATTTTTTTTTTTTCTTTTTTAAGAGAAAGCTTTCAGAGATCCTGCACCAAAAATGAGCAATCCATTAAAATAAACCTCTTCCTCTGACTTACTCAGTATTCCAGGAAGAAGTTTGAACTAAGAAGTTCCAGTAAGTGGTTCTAGTTCTGCCTTCACTGCAGTTCTGAAAAATGGCAAATGCTGGAGAATTTGGCACATTAATGTGCCTTACCCCAGAAACACACACTTGTATTTCTAAGAGATCATTGTGGCCTCTATTCAATTGCAAGGATGACAGGAAAATTAATTCCTGAACTGGAGCAAACATCTACATTTAATAGAATCCTTTTACAGCACCCTGCCTCACATACTGCCTTTCTTAGAAGTCAATAACACCTCTAGGAAACAACAGATTTAAGATAAATTGGGACAGAAGGAAGGATTTATCATGTTCAAAGAGTAAACTGTAATAGTTGCTGCTAAAAATAAGTTGGAGAAGGGGTATTAAGTGCGATTAAATATTTAATCCCTCACAGATAGGCTTCAGACCTGACTTTTATCAGGAAGGAGATCATGTTTTCCAGAAATGATTTCCAGTGCACTCCACAAAAGGTTTCTTCCAACCCTTGGTACCACGGGTGGGATCAGAATCCCACCCTGCACTGCTGTTTTCTACAC